GTGAATTAGATTACAGTAAATGGTTTGAGGATTGTTGCTGATTTATGAATTTGCCAACCTGCTTTATGGTCATAGACTCCAAGTATCACGTTTGTAAAACGTATGTCTGATGCATTTTATTTTTCTTGCACAACACTTTTACCTCGTGGTTTTTATGTTTTGGTCGTTATTCAAAGTAGCCTCTTGTCATCCTGCTCGTGCTGGTGTGCAGTTTGCTCTTTGTTGTCATGCAAAACCTTGTCTGCTGCTCCAACAACGGAGACATAAAGCCACTTTACCACGACTGATGGAATACACCCATTTTTAATATGTAAATCAGGAGGCATCAGATCACAGAGAGCTGCTCAAGACATTTGTTTGAACCATTTGCTGGAAGATTTGTTTGTTTACCATGGATCAGTGAGTTGTATCTTTCATGTGATTATGATTTGTTGATTTGAGCTTTCACTTTTACTAGGCTGTGTTAGCACAAATGTGATGTGTGATTAACTGTTGAAGTGATATGACAATGTCTTGTTCTGACAAGGAAGTTCCACCTTGGAGACATTTTTAGTTTTGATACCTTGACATATTTAAATCTAATTTGTATTTCATTTATTTCTTAATACTCTGTTATACAATTCTAATAGACCCAGCCACCGTGCTTGAAATCAGCATTTTATAGCAATATCTGCAGATAAATGACACCATTTTTGTGTCTGGTGATGGACAGGAAGGTGACTATGATGTTAGAGCAGAGCAGAAATTGTTAACCTTTGTCTGCAAGACGAAGGAATGTGGCCGTTGGTTTCCTTCACGTCAGACATAACAGCAGGGCATGACGTGCTGCTCAATCAGCATCATCTCGCTTTCTCCACCTGCTCACGCAAAAGGACAAACAGCTGTGAAGGTGTGACTCCAAACTGCCTCTTTGAATTCAAGACCAGGCCAGTTCAGAATAAGTTGCCTCTGCTCTTTAACAAATTCAGTGATAGAGTTAACAGGGTAATTGTAGAGGCCAGACAACAAATTCCAGTGATCTTGGATGGATGATTTCTATTTTAAGTCACCGTGTGCATCCAATAGTTTGAGACAAATTAATGGAAAGTTCCCTGAGCATGAGGTTTCCATTACAGCTTCACACTTTTTACAAGAATCCTTGCAGTAGTTTAAACAGGAAAACAACACTGGCATTGAGCTCCAAACTTTCTTATACAATAATGCTATATATTTTTTTGACTTTGTTTGATACTGACAGTAAAATAGCATAATATATAAAATATAAAATTTTAAAATATATATTATAAAACCTGTTTTGAAACTGTTTTCTCATTAAACTGGAAATAGTCCACACCTACAGTATAAGGGCCTTTTTAATCTACTGTAGGTTATTTAATAATAATTCAATTCAGTTTATTTATATAGCACCAAGTCACATCAGAAGTCATCTCAGGGCACTGAACAGAAATATTCATATATAAAAATATGAATTTAACACTATTTATCTGAGGAGCAGACTGCTTTGAATGTAACGCCATCGCAGAACTCTCATCTTACACAGTTCAGCTTATATTTTTGGGGTTTTGTAGCAGTAACCACAACAAAACATTGTTTTATGTAGTTGTTTGGGTCTAGAACACAATTTGCAACACATCAGTTCACATCAAAGGGGTACTGACTGCAGTTGAAATTTATTAGTTTCACACAAAAACTTGTACAGTACTTCAGATTATGGTTTATTTTACCACTAGACAGTTTTATTTTCTACAGTCACACACACACAAGCAAATTGATGGGCAATGTGGAGGTCAGTGTCTTGCTCAATTACATTTGACAGGCAGACAGAATGGGCATCAAACTGCTGACCTTCCCACTGAGCCACACGTGCACCAAATGCTCTTTTAGTACAAATAAATTCTGACCAAAACTGTAACCTTTTGTTAGGAGGTATTTCCAAATCATCAATGCAAGTTAGTTAAATGATTTTAATTTTTCAGTGCTTTGAGTGCTTGTTTTCATTGACGATCAGAAAAATAGACTTCTGATAACTGATCTGTGTAATATAACAACCCCCCCCCCCCCTCCAGTCTGGTTATGGACTGTTGCATCTCCTCGCCTGTGCAGTCTCTTGTCTCTCATGCAGTCACTTATTAAGCTACTCTGCACAAACTCAGGTACACACATGGCGGCCCCTCTTCCTCATCTTTGCTTCCTCTTTGTACAGTTTTTTTTTCTTCTTCTTCTTCGTAGGCCTGATCAAAACGAGTGTTGCTATTATTACCAACATGGAAACAGTCAGTGCTCTCCGTCTTGGTACCACAGCAAGAACCACTGTTTGAGCTTCTGGAACAGCCATCTCCTCTCATCAAACTCCAATTCATTGGATGGAAAACTCGAGTACAAATAAAAATAAACTACACTTGTGAAACTGTAGAAATGTATATTTAATGATGTGCAAAGCAATACAAATTTTTTAATGGAACTTTAATATTGTATGTTGGCATTCCTACTTTTTCAATCTTTTTAACTTAATTATTGCACATTTTCAAAGTTTATATGTATTTTTTGCAACATTCTCTTATCTATTGTATTTTTTTTTTTTATTGTTTTTTGTATTATTTGACTGCTATTTGTACATCCTTCTCAGCATTACAATTTACCCATTCAAGTAATAAAGACTGTCTTTTGGAGTATGTCATCAAAATAATGTAAAAGATACCAACAGAAACTGCACTGGTTGCTAGCTGTGTTAGCACTCAGTAAAATAGCTTACTACATTTATTGTCAGGGCTTTTTTTCTGATGATTTGACTAAACTAGTGACCTGGAATTACTAGCTGCTGCTCTTTGTCTCAGCCACCAGCATCACACTTCAGTATACAGTCATTTGTACATTTGTGTCATTTTTACCATTATCAGCTGCAACCGCGACACACACCGCTTTCTTCCTGTGAAGGATCTAATACAGATGAGAATTTATTATCACTTGAATGTAAAATGGAAACTAAGCAAAAAAAAATCTGTTTAAGGAAATAAAGAAGACGTGAAAGAAGGAAACGTTGCAGAAAAAAATATACAAAATTATTTTCCAAAACTAAAGTTACTGTTTTTAAATGCATTGTAAAACTAGACAAAAAAGGAACTAAAAATAGAAAAATGGAGAAATAAAGGCGTTTACAGCTGCAGCAGTTTCAGTTCTCTGTGTGTAAATTTTGTGCAACATGAGAAAACGGTCAAGTCGTGTTGGATCGAACCCTCATTCTGTTAAAATCTTCCAGGTTGTCTCTGATTCACATATGGTTCTAAAAATACATGAGCTTTGCCTTGCAGGGTCCAACACATTGATTACACGCACCTTTGTTGAACCCACGCCTCTTCATACACAAATTGAACCTTCATAAATACACATGGTGTGTAGTCTTCCCATGCACAATCATCACTATCTTTGTCTCATGTAACCACTTGCCCTAAGATACAAGAATAGCCAAATTGTTTTGCAGATTGCACACATTAGTGCATTTCTGAGTTGTTTTTTAAAGACTGGTACCTGCAGCATCTGTAGCCGTAACAATTGGCTCCGCCAGACAATGCGAAAGGCGTAAAAAAAAAACCACGTTAAAACGACGTGTGAATGTATAAGCTGAGCGACAGAATAGAAAATAGGCAGGTTGTCTGCTGTGAGGCAATAATTAAAGGGGAGAAGAGCGAGGGAATGATAGCTTGGCGACAGTAGCTGCAATCATCTCATGAGTAGAAGTCCATTTTTATAACCTTTTGTTCACTTAATGCTCAAGTCTCGGAGTCTGTCTGTTTGTTGGCACTTTAATTAGAATGAATATATTTACTGGTGTGTCAAATAAAATAAAAAACTTATAAGTTATTGCCCTTAAACAATTTCCCTCAAACAATGCCTTGCCCTGCAGGAATACAAAAGAACATGTTCATACACATCAGCTTTGAGCTCCTGAACAGGCTTTGTTTGATTCCCTCACTGGTTCATCTAGCTTTGGCAGACATGTTTAAGCACGCTTACCCGCTCTCATAACTGGACTTCAGGTACGTTTCAACATCAAAAGGAGGAATGTCGACTCACAGTCCCCAGTGCGTACACTACAATGGCACTACTAAAAAAAGCAAGTTGACGACGATTCAAACTTTGTAATGACATTCACACCCCATCACACTCGGGGAATCTGCTGGGAATGACAGCTACAACCACACTAAATTTTAGCTCGACATCCACAAAATTGAAAGGAGTATAGCTGTTGTTGTGTTTGCTAGTATAAATTAACTGTGGTGGCTATTTTGAATTAGATTAACTCCAAAACTGATCAGTTGTTGATGCAAATCCAATTAATGATCAATGATGGTTTCCTACAAGTTTCATTATGCTGGTAATCAGTTCAGTGCTTCATCATGTTTTGCTAACAGTCAGGCAGAATTGAATGCATTATTTAGTTGGGATGAATTAAGTAAGTGCTCTTGTATGTTCCCATACAATGGCAAAATTGGTTCTCTACATTTAGCCAATCACACCTGGGATACACCCAGATGGAGCGGTGGGCAGCTATGTACCTACAGCACCTTAGGTACTATTTATAAGACTGGGTTTACTGCAGCTCCTCAAACTGAAGAAGTATTTTGGATAAAAGACAAAACAGAGGACCTGATTTACTGTACGGTTAGATAAAGTTTTGTCTACTTATTTATTTCCTGCAAGTTTGACTTGTTATAAAAGGCTGTGTAAACTTGTTCTTATTACAACATGCATATTCAAGGTTCTTTATTTGTCATATATAACGTATAGCTTAATTTTAGCCGGCATTTATTATCTGACCACCACCTGTTGCTACAGGGTTAGGACATCTCAGAGAAAACCACGTCCTCATGAGCAGACTGTTACGTCATTAAGTAGCCCACCCACTCGGTTCATTCTCGCGCTCTGATTGGACAGAAGTAGCGTAGGGGGCGGGGTTTTCTGTAAAACTTTTCCTCACAAAGTTTTCTCCTGCTCTGGATCAGAAGTGTCGACTCGCGGAAGCGTGGTGTGTTGTCGCGCGAACCTAACCGCGAGCGAACTGAATGAGACGCATTCTGGCATATTTTTCTCACGTTTGAAGCTATGGTTCGGAGACTGTTCCTCCTTTTCAAGAAATAAGAAGGATATGCACCCACAAAAAAACCCTAAAGGCGCATTAAGCTGCAAAATGGTGCTCCAAGCAGTCGGAAAAGTGCTAAGGTAAAACATTGTTTCTCAACATTTCTCAAAGCATTTTCTTTCTCACATCCACGCCGCTTTGTTGTTGAAGCGCAAAGTTTTTATGTTCCGTCCTCCCGCTAATGTCCAAACGAAGTGAGTCGTGTCTCGTGTTTTTGTAAACGTGTCTCGGTCCCGAAACAGCAAAGAGATGGTCGCGTCTGCTGCTGTAATTACACATGTACTGGTTCTGGTGATGATGGGGACGTGTTCCCTGAGAGGCTCATTCCTTCTAGCAAGACCCAACAAGACTGAGAGACGCGACACTGTCTCCTTATGGAGTCCTATTAATCATTTAGGTAGTCTGTAACAGTTTAACAAGGAACTACTTGGAGAAAGGAACAAATAAACAGATATGTGGGGTTTCAGGAACTAGATGGATCCAACATTGAGCTAATCTTTCTGAATGAACACACTCTGGCGTGTATTTCAAGTGTTTTTGCTCCCATCTTATCTAAGGAGCATAAAATGAATAAGTGACTCAGAAGAATTGGTTCAAAGTGTTTTATTCGTGGAGAGCAGCACACCTGAGCCCTGCTAACCATTGTACATTTGTGAATTTATTCACACAGGTGCCATGTTTGAGTGTATTCTTGCAGTAGGGGGGTTGGACTGTCTTGTTAAGGCTGTAATGGTGTCTCTTACCTTTCAAGTCAGGTGTGTTTTTCAATCAGTAGTCCCACAGGGCACATGCCTAAAACCTGTTGTTTTGTGACACAGAGGGTGTGTTTTGGTGTTGAGTATATCCATAGTTTCAGGATCTCCGAACAGTGTGTAAGCAGACACTAGTGAGCAGAACTGAATGTGTTATGTCTATGCTGTCATGTCTGTTACAAAACCAGTAACAGGTAAAGACAAGTTTAGACACTCCTTTTTTATTAGGAAGGTTACGCCCATTTTAAAGAAATAATCTAATCACAGAGTGACTGAGAGAGACAAAGCAGTTTAAACAAGTTTGGATGGAGAAATTATAAACTCAACAGAGTTCATGAGAAGGGGGAGCCGTTCTGTTTTTAATGTTTGTTTCCTCCATTGAATAGACCAAGATCAGTCACTTCAGGTATTTAATCCTGGCTGCTCACACTGGATAAGCTACTTAATTAGTGTGAGGACAATAACAGTACTCCTTATGACCAATATATTTTCTCAGTTCTTTTGTCAGATCATCGTCACGATGCTTGCACCTCAAACTGCTGCATTTCTAAATGGCAGCTTCATACAGTTGTGTCCCAGACCAATCGCTGCGTGCATGTGTATGGTGATGTTGATGAGGCTCCATTATAATGCTGTTAATGGAGTCTGCATTACACTGTAGTGGCCAGTAAAAGGGATTTAGCTCAAGATTTCAAGTTGAAGATGAGGCAGCCAAAATGGTGCTATAAAAAGTTAATGGTTGAATGGCCAGTTTTGTGTTTGTGTGTGTGCATATTTTAAGTTTGCACCTTGACTACAATTCTCATTCGGGTTTTGCTCCCAGTGATGTTGCTGATTAATTTATATTGGCTGTTTATTTTTAATATGTTTAAAACTACAACAAATGTTTAAAAAATTACCTATAGCGAAGTGATGCTGTGGAGTTGAGCAACACAAGGCTGAATGCTTACTTTGTCCACAGCCTTCTCTTTATAGCCCTTATAATGGCTGCTGTGGTTTTGCTTCAGACTTCCTGCTTTTCCTCTGTTTGTGGTTTTTAGGAGAAGAGGGCGTTTAGCTTTGGACCCTTAAATAGACCAGCAGGTTCAGGGACAGCGTAGTTTTCTGAAATTATCCAGTTTATTAAATCTGTTCTGCCGTTATCTTCAAATGTCCAGTATAATTTTCTTCAACCATGGCTTTTTTTTAATTATTAATACTAATCACAAAATTAATTGACAGGGTGGGAAATGTCTTGCATTTGATTGACGTCTCTGTTGAGCGTTTGACAGTCACATCAATCAGAGGTGTTAAATTTCTAATTTTATTTCACCTAAATAGTTTGTTTTTAAAAGATAAAAATGTAGTCTGAGCACATCTTTTCAATCTCTACATAAAGCAGCTGTCTGGGAGAAAATGGTAGTGTTTATTAGCGTTGCTTTTGCTTTTCCTTTGCAGATTTTAAGGACTGCATCCATATGCCAATTGTTATACTCCCCTTTGCAATTCAAGCAATGCAATTTAGGAAACAGTTGTGCAATATCTGGCTTGGCAGGAGCCCCGGGGCTTCAGGGTAAAATCATTACATGGGGGTTGTTAAACAGGTGTTGTTCTTGATGCAAGAACCCGTTAAAAAACAATTTTAATGCATGAATGTCGGTGTCTATGACTCCCCATGATTTGGTGCAGAGGTGATGGTGAACTATGGAAAAGTCAGCATGGTCTGAGCATTTCCCTCCTGAACTGCTGATGTTCAAGCACGAGGGGAAGGAAAAGAGAGCTATTTAGCAGCAAATTGTAGTACTTTGGAGAACACATTTAAGCTAATTATTCAGCATAACTTTGTAACATTGGACCCCTGTGGATCCAGGATTAATTGGAACCAGGTTCTGGAAATGAGACTAGATTGTGGCATACCTGCCAGAGGGCTGCTCCTCTTTAGACACGGCTCATTTTAGAACCATGTGCACTTATTTGGCACGTAAGTCGACTAATATTTGCACCAAGCTGAGTTGTATGTTTGTTCAAGCACATGTGCATCCACCACTATTCAAACAGCCTCCCAAACCAGACAGAACTCGCTTCTTCTGGGTTGTTCTCGTGGGGTCTGGTGGGATCAGGGTTGTGACGCAGCTGTCAGGACCAGCTGGGTCGGTCATGAAAAGTGAAAGAGGACTAAAGCCAGTGTCTTTGTGTATAAGTCACAGGTGTGTGTGATTACTGTGTGTGCAAGGGAGAAAGTAGTAAATGAACATGGTTTGATGGTTGGGGGAGGTGGTGTTTCTGCCAACAGTGAAAGGCTACAAGTGGTAAATACAAAGAGTTGAACAGCTGTCAAGTCAGTCACTGCAGCTCCACTGCTCTGACCTCCCTGTCAACCGACAGTACAAACCTAATTTCTTTGTTTTTATTACAGATGAGCACTAATAATTTGCCCTTTTGTGCTTATCGTCCTCCATTTGAAATCTTAAGTACCAGTATTTTTTCTAACTAATTGTCATAGACTCGTTCTTGGTGGTTCCTGGCTGTGGCTCTCCCTTCTGTCTAGAAACGTGCCCAGCTCCTCCATTTCTGCCTTCTGGCCTGCCCTGATCTGCCCCATGTTTTTGGTGAGAAGGAAGACTGCTGCCTTTTATGGGAAAGGCTTTCGATAGAACAACTGTACCAAGACCAGACCAGACGAACCTGTGGGTGCATGTGTTGGAGAAAGGAGAATGTATATACATGCATAGATAAGTGTGGGCATACAAGAAGTTCTTCATTTCAAGATAAACTAACTAGCTGCAGACTTTCACTGCTTTTTACCATGCAGATGTTCCCTGGAAGTTGAGGCATCTGTACAGAACATTATGAAGGGATAGGAAGTGGCTCAGTGAAATAATGTTTTCAAAGGGATTCATTATAAATGTCGGCTAGCTTTTCCAAGAGGCTTAGCTAGGTCTTAAAGTTGTGAGAACCGACGATATCTGTAGATGGAAGCTCTGTCCTTTGTGTGGCTTTTTCACATTAATCACACTAATCATCTGTCTGTATGCGTATGAGCTGGCTGTTTTTCTGTTTTGTTTTTTGTTATAGGATATTGAGATATGGAAATATTTCAAACGAGCACTTAATAGATCATCAAAATATAACTAGTACTTGATGTTTGGTCAGAATATTAACAGTAAGATGAACGGAGAGGGTGAAAATGCGACTCCAAATGGCTGAATCTTTTTTCCTGGACAATGGGATGTTTGCACTGATGAGCCAGCAGTCACAAATAAGAGAGAACTGAAAGGATTTGTAGGCAACTCAAGTCAAGATGTAAAAAAAAAATAGAGGAGCCCACAAAAGAAAGGGGTGAAGCCAAAAATGGACAGTCATTAGCCTGCAGCGTTATCTGTTGTCTTTGGATTTTAAATGAAGCTACGACGAGCTCAGCGGCAGCGTGACTGGAAGAGCAGAGTAGCTTAAATCGTTACACAATAAATGAGAACCTGAAAGAAGTTTTGAAGGTTTGTGACTGTGCTAGTGTGGGTGGTTTATTGAATAATGTTCTTGCAGAAATCCAAAAAACAAAGTTCACTCGGGTATTTCATGTGACAGATAAATTAGACTGATGAGAGATCTTAGATGTTAACCAAGCTAAAAGCTGCAGGCTCTGTATGTGTCCACATGTTGACATGCCTTCCCTTGTTTGCTGAGGTGAGAATCATGGCGACGCTTCCCGGAGCCTGGAATTGAAATTACACAGACCTTTTGGACACTGTTCCCTGTCCAAAAAGTCTTGTGCCTCGCAGTGCTGTCATGTTTTGAAAGTGTTTATTAGTTCCCATGGTTATCAGTTGGGCCTGAGTCAATCAAATCCCCCTCTCCATTCCTTTCTCCCTGCTGTTCTTTCCCTCCCTTTCATTTTCTCAAAGTTTCAATGTCTCAAATGTATAATCCTCATGTAACCCAACACGAATATTTTCACACACCAAACCACCCAAATGCTCATTTTCTGCGTTTGAGTTTTATTTGCAGTCGAGCCCACATGAAAAATATGACGAGATTTGGCTCCTGCTTTAAAATAGTGCATGTTATCCCTTCACTGTTGTGCTCTTAGAGCAGTCCCTCTTGGTCCAGGAGCCAGATATGATGTTGTTCTGTAAATGGAGTTGGACCTGAGAGAGCAAATTGGGAGGAAAAATATGGGAAGTGAAAGCCATGAGGACATTGCTGCATTTTAACCGAGGGTGTGGGAAGCACAAGGATGAGAACAAGAGATGGAGTTGATGACTGTGGTGAGGCCGGAAATGAAGGTCAACAGAAGCACAATAAATTCAGGAAGCAAAACCAAACTCCCTTGTCCTCAAACAAACCCCACGCCACAGTGAAATCGCATGAAGATGTAGGGAGTACTGGGAGCAGGAACAGGGCCTTTAATCAGTGAGAAAAGGTTTCAACTGAATACTAATCAAGCAGGATCGGTTGCACTGGTCTGTATTTGGTGTCCGGCCTGTCAACCTTTGACCCAAGAACTCACTGCTGCCATAGAATCGGACGTAAAACAGGAGGTGGGGGAGGAGAGGTTATAGCACCCTGGAAGTGAAGGAATGGTGTGATATGACATCCCTGCGCTAAAACTAGCGCTGGAAGTGCACAGTGGCGTGGACAGGCGTCTGTGTGGGAGCTATATCCCTCATGTAAGGTCAACTATCGGCATTGAAGATCAGACACTGAGGAGTCTTTGTGTGGTCTGTTAGAGATGCTGTGATTCCAGTGCAGAAGTCGCATGTGAACTCAAAGCAGTTTTGATTCAGTTTGCCTCGCTCTATAAATCTATGGATCAGGCTGCTCTTACAGTCTGAAAGAAAAACGAACCTGTAGAACAACTTGAATTTCTGAAACGGTCTTCAAAACGGCATGATTTGAAGCCTTTAGTGCCGTTACGAGATTTGCTTATGCGTCAAGGTTGCATCATTCTTTTAGCCCCAACACTTTTTCAGCTTTCTGACCTGTTCCGATTTCTCTTGTCTTGTAGGAAGTCAAAGACGAAGCCAAATGGAAAGAAGCCACCGCCAGAAGAGAAGAAGCTGTACTTGGATCCAGAGTTCACGAAAATCCGTGTGGTGGATTTTGACCTGAAGGAGCTGGTGGTGCTGCCCAGAGAGATAGACCTCAATGAATGGCTAGCTAGCAACAGTGAGTGACTGAAATATTTAATTTTAATGATCTAAATGTTAAAGCAGAAACCTAAAGGGTTCAGCAGATAAGTGGGGTGTTTTATGAAGCAAAAAGAAACCGCAACTGTAATTACTAAATCTGCAAGAGTAATTTAACACTGTCATTTTCTAAATGAGATGTGTGAGTAATTCTTTATTTAAATTAAACTACTCCTTTAGGCAGTGCATGTGTCCCAGCATGAACACTTTTCTGCAGAGACTAGGAAGAGTTTTTCCAAATCTGCATGCACTTGTCATCTGAAGATGTTCCAGCAGTGTGAGGAATCCAAACCCTTAACACGATCCAGACCCCGAGACCGTTTCTGTAACGCCACACGAGGCTCCTTTCAAACATTTTAGTTTCCTGCCACTCGCTGTGCAGAGACTGAGATTATGATCATCATGTCTCAGCTCACAACTCTCACAAGGGTTGAATAATCTCACAAGAGGTGCCATTTTGCACATTTTTTTATTTATTTTTGCAGGTTATTTTGGCAAAAACAGCCTGGTGCTTGCAGGAGAAACAAGGAAAATAGATTTTATTGTGTTTTGATTAGGAAGAGTTATTATTTTGTTGGTGCTTTTAGATAATGGTGCTGTACAATGTCCTTTGCTGGGAAAATATTAATTGTATATGTTTCTATTGTAGTTGTAAACTTTACATAAACTGTTTGGTCCGTAAAAGAATGTGACCCTGCCAGAAACATGAGAAACACATATTTTAGATTGTTCCAACACCATATTGCTCAGACCACTCATTGTTTTTCTGTTTGTAGTGAAGCACATTATGAAGCTTTGCTTTCCTCACCGTTTAAATATTTCCTTCCGTTTTAAGTGACAACTTGAAAACCTCTTATTCTTCAGAACAATTGGGGCACTTTTAAAATGTGACAAGGAATGCCATTTTTGTGTTGAGGCAGAGTTGATTCACACCGATGTGACATGAAAGTGTTTTGCCGCCTTCAGCAGAGGCCATGCGACAGATATCCGGTTACGATTTGTGCATCTTGTCTCTTTCACAGCAACAACGTTCTTCAATCTTATCAACCTGCAGTACAGCACCATTTCAGAGTTCTGCACTGGGGAAACCTGTCAGGCCATGACAGCCTGGAACACGTAAGTCATCTTCCACATTTGTGGTTTACTCATAGCTCACCAACAGAACACAGTCCAGCCAGGATTGTACACGTATGTAAATTCAGTGCAGCTGTTTGCTCCTCATTCTGTACTGACTTAATATTCACTGAACAGCCTTTAGCAGTCTCTATACGCAACAAATTGATCCATCACACTCAAACATCGGACCTTTTGGGCTTCAGATTTTCTTGTAATCTTATTCTCAAACACATAAGAACACGTTATCAAATATTTGGACAAGTTTCTCAAAAAGAAAGCCAATCCAGTGTGTGTGTGTGTGTGTGTGTGTGGTTTCCATGCTTTTATGAATTCTCCTGATTCTTCATACTCAAACATCACAACAAACTTCACTGAAGATTGGATGTGACCGTGTCACGTTTAACCCTGAATACTTGTTCCAATGATTAAAATCAAGCTAACGAGTCACTAACAACTACTGACTGTTAAGCAAAACATGTTTGTGTATTTATGGTGTGTTACCAGTGGGGAGGTGCCTAACTGTAAGTATTTATCCAACGAGTTTGCCCAGTCCGGGTGTGGTGCCGTCAGTGTTTGTGAGCTCTTGTTTGTAAAGAGAAGCCTTGATTCCATCAATGGTAAAACTTGATTAGCCACCCCGTACAATATAGAACTGGATGTAATGTAATAAAGTCTAAAACTCACCCACATGACAACTTTTTGAAAAGGCATGGGATGACATTTCAGCTGCAACATAACTTTGCTGTCAGAAAGATGCCAACAAGTTGGCGTCTGTCAGCAGTGGATTTTTCCACAGCTGTCACCTGAAGCTGCTGTTGGTGACAAACGCCCTAAGAGGAGTGGAAGAAACAAACGTGCTTTGCCTGCGTATGTAAGCACAGCAGCCAGCGGAGCACATGACCTGTTTACAAGAGAGGAAAGCAGAGTTGAACCAATGTCCAAAAGACTTTTGTCTCACAAATCCTCTGCAGATTAAATTGTTCATGTTGCAACGTGAGGCTCCCATTTATGGCCGAACCTTCATCCACCGCCTGCTGTGCTGCACCTCGCCCTTTCCTGCTCGAGCAGGACCTGGCTCCCCTCTCCACCTCCCCTCTGCGGTGCAGACTGACGGCAGCGTCAGTGCCCCAGCCCACGGGCAAAAACGCAGCACTATTTTTGGAAGAAAATGTTTCCATGAGCTCTGTGGGAACCAAACCATTTAGAAGCTCTTTGACTCATTTTTAAGTGCGTGGGTGGATACATGTTCTTGCTGTGTTCTTTATCGCTCACCGGAGAAGAACGGGGTGGTTTTGCCCTTGTCTGTGTGTGTGTGTGTTAACAGAATCTCAAGAACGAGGGCACAGATTTTCATGAAACTTTCAGAAAAGTAATCACTTTTTTGTTACCTTTTGGAGTTATTCCAACTTAAGATGAATAAAAGTTTCTTTATTGTCATTTGCATCACATGTGGTACATGCTGTGGAACGAAATTGTGTACTCAAGGTCCCAGTTACACCCAAAAATAGCAAAAATATAAAGTATAAAAAAGAAACATTGTAAGGATCTAAGATATGCACACAACAATAATGTAAAATAATACGGTGTATTAAACAGCAGCCTGAACATGAGTCTGTTGTGAGCAGATGGGTATGAATACAGCAGCTTAAAAGCAAGAAATCAGCAGCATGGATAATCAGCAGCACATACTACTACCCAACTACCACATTTAATCAACATTAGCCAACACAAAAATAACTAACAGATTACAAATACTGAGCTAAAGCATGGCGTGGTACTAGCTTGGAGTAATTCCCAACACGTACTTACCACTACACATTGAGCTTAAAACTTTAACATTAAATTTTAATCTACACTATCTTTAGCAAATATTATGAACCGCTACACAGATTTTAATAAAACTAGCAAAAGTCTTGAGATAACAAGCGAGCGGCGATTGATTGATGCACTTCTTCCCTTTAATTGCCGTCACATTTTTATAGCTATATATAGATAAGAATTTTATTTTAACAAATATGACATGGTCATATTTAGATCTTCAGTTTTAGGTCTGTATTCAGGTTTTTTTCTGTGTTTCTGGTGCTGTGTGTTATGAGAGCTGTGGTCAGCAGGAACTCCTCCTGGGTCAAGTATGTGGACACTTGACATTCTTCAGAATTTATAGCCCCTCCCCCACCAACTCCCAGATGTGTAGTGTCATAGCTGCACCTGCTTCCCCTTTTATCAGCCTGTTAAACAAGTCTGAGATCGTATCTGGTTGTTTTTACTGGTCTCCTTTCAGTCTCTGATTCATCGTGAGTTTGCTATAAACCCGCCTGCTGCTCATTCATCCATCCCTCCATCCTTCTTCTGGCTTACCTGCGAGCTTGATGAGCTCACAGCTGCCAACCCTGACTGATCTCTAGCTAACCGTTCATTCACGGAGTTCACTTGATTCTCCAGTTGTCTGGGTCAGCCCATAATGAAATGTTTGAGCGGCACCAGGACCAGCCTCGGAGACGGAGGAGGCATCCGTGTCCTTACATCAGCAAGGAACTCTGTTCAGTCCAGAAATTAAATGTTCAGGAGACGCTGCAGATGAAATAAAGAACTGGTTTGCACATTTATTTACACAGATTGCTAAATCTGTGAACTGATTCATTCAAAACGTCGCTCAGGGGTTTTCCTGAATGACGAAACGCAGCAGATGATGTTTCACAGGTTAATTATGTTTAGTCTGTCACTAATCTGTTGTTAATCTTCCTGCCTAGTCTTCACTCCAGGAAACATACTTGTTTTTGTCTGAGCTCACACAAATATTCTTTTCCATGTTCATTCAGAGGCACAGTTTTGTAACCGACTTATTTTGAAAATTGTATGAGACAAGAACGACTGGCATAACTCTGGTTTCTTGCTCTTCTTCCAGAATATACTACTGGTATGATGAGAGGGGGAAGAAGACGAAGTGCACCGCTCCGCAGTATGTCGACTTCGTAATGAGTCTTTGTCAGAAACTGGTCACGGATGAGGAAATCTTTCCTACGAAATATGGTGAGTGGAGCTCTACAGGGCCCCTAAAATGTTATAGTGAGCCAACTGATGCCCCCTGCTGTTTCAGGTGTAGAAATATGACTACGGTGTAAAACAGTTGATCCAATGTTGACACTTTGTGAAGAAATAAGTGATTAGTAATAGATGTGATGTCAGAGGGAGTTTTGGACTTGTTGTGTGGCGACATTTTTAAGTCTGTATCAACAATTTTCTTATCTTGTGTAAAGACTATTTCAGGAACAGAGTTGCAAAGAGAACACAAATCTCTGTAATTTAGAAACGTCTGAAAAATGAAAACCATTTCCAATTGTCTAAGAAATGTTTGAACCTGTATTTAAAAGTTGAACATTTTATTTCCTAACAATGAGGCCGGTTTGGATTGTTCACAGATCGAGTTAATGAACCGTCTTTACACTTGATCTTAATTTTTCCTCCCTCGTGATTCTTGGTCATAAACCAGTTTTTCCCGTCTTTTGTTTGTCCTCGTCTCCCTTCAGGCAAAGAGTTTCCCAACTCGTTCGAGTCCTTGGTAAAGAAGATCTGCCGGTATCTGTTCCACGTGCTGGCTCACCTCTACTGGGCGCACTTTAAGGAGACGGTGGCTCTGGACCTGCAGGGCCACCTGAACACTCTGTATGCACATTTCATCGTTTTCGTGAGGGAATTCAATCTGATCGACCCTAAGGAGACCTGCATCATGGACGACTTGTCCGAAATCCTCTGCAACCCCGCCCCGCTGCCCGCGCCCACCCCCGCCTCCTCCACCCCGGCCTCAGCACCCTCCCCTTCTTCACAAAACCACGTGACTGAGAGATGAACAGGGGTGGTGATGAGACGGCAGCCCCGGGGGCGATCGAAGATAAGAGAGGAGAGAAGGACAAACAGCCTGGCCCCCCTTCCATGGTGCAAGCAGGACTTAAGAGACCTTCCCTTATATTTCGCTACATCAACCAGCTAGAAGGTAGATGGGGAAGAGTTTTCTGTGGGTTTGGGGTTGGCAGGGAGGGGTTTGTCACGCCAGCAGGAATTGGCGTGAGTGTTCCTCCCAGAGACAAACCCCTCCCATCTTCTCTGCAATTTAAACTAGGAACAAGATGTTTTGTTTATTTTTTGGTTTTATTTTGTTTTTGTTGGAAATTTTATTCAGTTTATTTTTTGTTGTTTGAGGTGGGGGGAGGGGTGCAGTGTATCTGTCCACCTTCATCTACCTAATATAGAGCGCAGGAAAAAAAAAGTGGGGGGGGGGCTCTGCTTTGCTTCGACCTGCTATTGTACAGTGGCGTTGATGTGTAGAGAAGAGGCATCGTTGCTTACCCGCAGGCTCGTCCCCTCCTCCAGCAGCGGGAGGCCGCCTGCAGGCGTCTGGCTGCAACGCTGGCCCGTTTGGAGCCACGTTACCGCCTGAGAGGCCAACACTTAGCCAATCACTGTTTGAGTTCTCTATGTGGGGGGGTGATTAAAGCGCTTCCTGCTCAGGACCCGAGAGAGTAGTCACTGCTGCCAGAGAGGAGTTCCTCTCATTTTCATTCTCTGTTCCGTGTTCACCAGACTGACAAATGCTGACGTTTAACCGCACTATAATTATGTAATCGCCTAACAAACAATTCCCACAGCCCGCCTGTAGAGGGCAGCAAACACGCGGTGGATGCAACAGGAAACGGAGACAAAAAGAAAAAGATTGTACGCTAGATATTTAATCTTATCAGAGAGTGGATACTTTGAGACGGACTGGTGCGCATTTAAGTAGCTGTGTGCTTATGTTAAGCACAGCAGCAGCCCCTTTAACCACCACCTCCCACCCCAGCAGCACAGAAGGACAAAGACATGAAGTCATGTCTGCAGGCCCAGAGAGATGAAGATGGAGAACCGATAGGAAGGGTGGGGAAAACTGGTGCTCTGCTGTATAACAGTCACCTGTACTTCCTATTCAAAACAAACAAACAAAAAAAAACATAGCTTTTATTTTTTACCAGTTGCTTTCATTTTTTTTTTTAAGTTTATCAGAGGAAAGTTAGTTTGGAAGAGAATATTGTCACATGTATAGAAAATGCACAGTCTGCTTGGACTTTACTGTACAAAGAATCACAAGTGGGTTCTGTCAGATATAGCCTCTGTTTAGAGGAGGGTTGAATTTATAATTCTCCTTTTTTATTTATTTCAACTTCTTTTGCAGGGTTCCTCAGTTCTGACTCGTTTTTATGTATTTTAATTATAACTAAGTTAAAAGCAATTTAATATTTTAAGCTCTGCGGATTATAATCTAATAAAAGAGAGAAATGCCACCTTGTCTGTGAGTTTTATTACAACCATATCTTCAGTGTGCTGCTGTAAAAACTATACATTTGTAAAGAACTCAAGCTACTTAAAACAACTCATGACGGGGGGGGGGGGGGGGGGGTGTTAAGTGTCTTATTGCAGATTTATTATCATTTGTACAGACATGCATAAATTCACCAAGTGAAGCACATTTTGTTCCCTCTTATGCTGTCAGAGATTAAACATTTTGTTTTCAAAATGTGTTATTGTGTCAAATACTATGCCAGCTTTGAACATGGCATAATATAGGCATATTATTTGTAAGGTCTGACCATAGCTAAAATAATTTCAGTCTAATGGGTGATGTGCATTTCTTCAGGAAATGCTGGATCCCACATTGTTTGAATAAAAATTTAAAAAAAGAATTTTCTAATTGTTCATTTTGTCAGCAAATTTCATGTCTCAGAGCAAAGAGGGACTTTGAAATATTCTCCATCCGTCCAGTTCATCTTGGGAGCTGGACATCTTGGAAGAGTGACGTCCCAATTTCCATTTCAGTGTGGGGCTGTATCGAGGCACGAGAAGGATCACTGTCGAAAATTGAGTCACCGCATCAAAATCTAAGATGGTCACTGTCGTGTGAGTGAACTGGCCACCCCAATCATAGGGAACTATGCTTTGATGTTTTTATATTGCTTAGAAGTAGTTTCTTCTAAGGGGGGAGTGGTGGTGCAGAGGCTAGAGAACGCCTGCGATCGGAAGTTCGCTGGTTCAACTTCCTGGACTGACACCATCATGTGGGTGGGAAAGGTGAAACACCCACACCTGCCACCCATCCGTTATCTTTACCCACTTCTTCCTTTTCAGGTTGCGTGCGTCACTGGTGCCCATAGCCAGCAGTCACTGTGCGAGGCGGGGGACAACCTGGACAGATCACAAGTCCATCACAGGGACATGGAGACAAATGAGACAACCATTCACTCGCTCACACCTAGGGACGATTTAGAGATACCAATCAGCCTAACATGCATGTTTTTGGTCTGTGGGAGGAAACCAGAGTACACTGAGAAAACCCATGCATGCACGGACAGAATATGCAAACTAGACCTAGAAAGGTCCCCGGACCGGGGTTTGAATCAGGGCGACCTGCTCGCTGAGAGGTGGCAGCTCTACTACTGCCCACACCTGCCTTCACACTCATTTCTCCCACTCTGAGCCCTTGAGCAAGGCCTTTACCCCCCACCATCTGCTCCCCCGGGTGCCCTAGCTAGCAGCTCTCTGCTCCACACAGAGACTGGTAGCTCAGTGGTTGTCAAGAATGACTTCCAGCATAACAATTTATACATCTTCGTGCGACTTAGTTCACTGTGGCGACCCCTGAAGAAGGGAGCAGCCAAAAGAAGGGGTATAGTTTCCTCAAAGGATTGGAGTCTCCCCCCCTCTCCCCCCCCCCCCCCCCCAATCCCCCCAATGGCTCGCCATCGGCCTAGTGGTGGATAAAATTGCTCCATCCTCTCGCAGGATCCTTGGATCCAATCCAAACACATCTGGAAGAATACATTCAGTATTCAAACCCTCAGTGATCTGGGACATGAGCATTCGGCTTGTTTTGCATTAAGTTAACCTCATCTATAAAAAATAAGGCGTATACTTTCCCTCTGTTAATTCTGTGGAAAAGCAGCCGAAGTGGTGGGAACAAGTTTCAGCTGGTGGTGCTGAGTGTGTTAGCTGGTTCATATAGTCGATCAGATTAATTAAACACAATTTAAACCCATGAAGCACTATTAAAACCTTTTATTTCATATTATTGAAATGGGATTAGCATTTCCTTTTGGCATCCATCAGGGGGCGCTGGAGCACCATCAGCACCCCCACTTCCCACAGCAGATAAAAAGCAAATGCACATCTTTTGCGCTTGTCAATCCATAAACCCCATAAACTGTCTCTATAATAAATATTAGTTATTTGTTTAAATCCATGCAGGCAGACCTGATCTCACTCTGGATACCAGGGCTCAGATATTCACCGTCATGTTGTCACTCTGAGGTGAAGGATCATTGATCATTTCTGAATCAAAAGATTTGGTTATTACACCAGAGCTGGAGCAGATCACTGCTTCTTCCTGGTTTTACGCGTCGCGGCACCGGCTCTCCTTCTCGCGGTCGTCCGGAAGGTGGCGCCCTCCTGCAGCCTAAAGCGCGCGATCCCCCCTGCCTCCTCCAGCTCCTTGGCGCTGCAGCACGGAGTCGCGACCCTCACGGTGTTGCCGAACTTGGAGTAGTCCACTGCGTACATCCCGTCCTCCTCCGAGACCGTCGGCACGAAGCGCTGCCCCCACAGGATCTCCTCGGACACGTAGGAAGTCCTGGCCTGCGTGGTGATGCCGGTGGTCTCCACCACCCCCTCCAGCACCACGATGATCTCGATGTCCTGCTGCTGCAGGTCGGAAGGCGACAGCTCGTACAGGGGGCTGCTCCTGTCGATCACGTGAGCGATGATGAGGGGGGACACGAGGAAGATCCCGTTGGTGCCCACCGGGTTATCCATGTGGATGTCGATCTGGTCCAGCGGCACCACCTCCCCCTCCTCCGTGGCGGTTCTCCTGACCACCTGCATGCGCACGGTGGCGCTGATGATCATGCTCTTCCTCAGGTCCCCGATGCGGATCATGAAGCACAGCCTGTTGTTGCGCAGGGAGACCACCGCGTGCTTGCTGAAGATGAGCGTCTCCGCGCGCCTGTTGGCCTGCGCCGTTTTCATGAAGATGCAGCCGAGCATGATGGCGTTGATGACCAGCCCCACGATGTTCTGCACTATGAGGATGATGATGGCCGAGACGCACTCCTCCGTGACCATCCGACCCCCGAAGCCGATGGTCACCTGGACCTCGATGGAGAAGAGGAAGGCGGAGGAGAAGGAGTGGATGTCCGTTACGCACGGGACAAACTCGTCCTCTTTCCGGTCCAGGTCGCCGTGCGCGAAAGCAACGAGCCACCAGATCATCCCGAAGAGCAGCCAGCTGCACAGGAAGGACATGGTGAAGATGATGAGCGTGTGGATCCATTTTAGATCCACCAGGGTGGTGAACACGTCCTGAAGGAACCGGCCCTGCTCCCGGATGTTGGTGTGCGCTACGTTGCAGGTGCCGTTCTTCCCCACGAACCGAGCCTTGCCCTGTTTGGTCTTGAACTTGGGCTGCTGGACGTCCTCGGCCAAACGCGTCAGCAGGTAATCCTCAGGGATGAGTCCTTTGCGGGACAACATCGCGCTCCCATGCTACGTCCTCTCACAGCCCGTCTGAGTCCCTGCTCCGTGCTGGACCCGGAGCCCTTTCTCTCCCCTCACGGTGCCAGCTGAGGGAGAAAGTCTTGATGTGATCCGTTCCTGTGGAGGAATGCGCGCGCCTCACGTTGCCTCCGGATCAGGCGCGCCAGGAGTGCCGCGCGGGGTCCCATGAGGGGGTTCTTCGTCCGGTCCAGCTCCACAGCTGCCGCCGTCACTCACAGCACCGAGCTCCCACACCCGGTGCCACGGCGGCGCGCGTGGGGCGCACCCGTCAGTCAGTGCGCGGCGCGCGAGGAGAAAAGGCCTCTGAGCGCGGCGGCTCGTGTGTCGCAGTCGGTTCTGTGACCTCGTAACGTGAAGCGGAGACGCAGTCCCTCCCCCACCGCGCTCCGGGTGGATCTTTTTCAGCCTTTAAAACACAAAGATCGCGCTGCACCTGTCTGCCTTCACGCGCAGGAAGCTGCGGGGATGCTTCCACTCGTGTTTACTGCGTCTCCCTGCTGCTCGGAGCGACTCAGCTCCACAGAAAGAAGAGGCGAGTTCAAGCAGCTCTGCGGGAAAACACGCAAATGTGAAGAAAAGCTCATCAGCAGCTCCATAAAGGTTAATTATAGAACACTGCGCTGTCAATCAAATCCAGGTTGTAGTAAACCTCCGCTTCATGGACTCGGAGTGGACTGTCCCAACAACAAAAACCAGAAAACCAGTTAGATTAAATAAATCAATATTTTTGGATTGACCTGCATCCTTCCAATCAAGAGACGTTTCTGCTCCTTTTTCCACTAAGTGTTCTCGAAGCTAACAACTCATGAAGTTACTACAAAATAAGATCTAAAGTTTGTAACATTATGACATTAATGATCCATAATGAACTGTTTATAAAAAGAAGACATTTTCTTGTTTAGACCTCTAGATCCATTATCTTTTGCCTGCTTTCCATTTTTTGGGTCACTGGGGTCACCGATGCCCATGTCCAGCAATCATTGTGTGAGGGGCGGGGGACACCCTGGACAGGTCTCCAGTCCATCACAGGGACACAAAGAGACAAATGAGACAAACAACCATTCACTCTCTCGCTCACACCTAGACAATTTAGAAACTGGAGTACCCAGAGAAAACCCACACATGCACGGAGAGAACATGCAAACTCCACCCAAAAAGGCCCACGGACCAGGATTTGAACCAGGGACCTTCTCGCTGAGAGGCAAACACTATGACATGCCTTTATATTGTCTGATATTTACTAATTTATGTTAAAAAAAACGCTCAGTTCTGCCTGAATGACCTACTCTGCTGCAGAAATTCCACAAATAAATAAAAAACCTGGACGTGAATAATAAAATACCTCTTTCTACGTAAATGTCTTAGATTTGTGTCATTTTTGGTTGAAGTTAAATGGAACCACTTGAGAAAGGGCCACAAATGGCCCCAGAGCCTCCAGTTGCAGACCCCTGTTCTTAAAGTGTCACTCTGACAAACACTTCTCTCTTCAGTCACGATTTCCCACAAAACACACCATGATGATAATTTATGTTTTATTAACAAAGAATTAATATTTGTATGTACAAATATAATACAACATGATTTAAAAAATAAAAAAGGGAGGGGGGATATATATTCCACGGGACAATTGCACTTTGAATGTCTTCCTTTGATGCTCCGGAGCTTCCCTCTTCTTGTGCTTCTTACTTGTCTGCTCGCACGAAGGAGGAGAAGACGCTGTCCTCCCTGTCCAGCAAGGCCTGGGGGGTGTCGTACTCCAGGATGATCCCCCGCTTCATCACAATCACCAGGTCGGCGTTCAGGATGGTGTGGACACGATGCTGCGGGGTGGAGGAGAGGAAGAAACTCGTCAGAGCAGCTCGAAGAAACATGGAACGGACACGAAGGTCAGAGACGTCAAATCAAACATTCAGGTGGTTGCATCTTCTTTCAAATACAAGTTTGCACATTGTTTACACAATCAATTAAAATGGATTATAGTATTTGGCTAAACTCATAAACTCAGATTTTATTCACAAAGAAACTGTAAACACGTTGAATGCTTAAACCAAGAAATTGTACGATTCTTTGGGAAAAAATGAGGTCATTTTTATTTTATTTATGGCAGCGGCTCATGAAAAAAGTTGCCCAAACTGTGTCTAAAAACAGTGAAACAGATTCAGAACTAGATAAGTTGCATTTCCTGTGAAAATGCAGCATGAATGCTCAATGCTGAAGAACTTGCTGAAAAACTGCTGAAATTAACTAAAAACATGCTGAATTTTAGCTGAAAAAGAAGAGCAAGCCTAAAATAGCCGAAGAAAACAGAAATAACACATATTTGCTGAAATAGGAATTAAGCAGAAATGAACCAAAAAAAAGGAATTGAGCTAAAAATAAATTAAAAAAACTGAAATTAGCAAAACAAATTGCTGAAAAGGCAGAAAGAAGCATAAACTACTAGAAGGAAGTGGGAAGAGCTGAAATTAGCTAAAAAAAAAAAGTGGAATTAGTTGAAAAGGCTAAAAATAGCATAAAACAGTTAAAACGTAGCTGAAATAACAGAAATTAGCAGAAATAAGCTGAAAGGAGCATAACAAGCTGAAATTAGTAGAAAGAAAGTAATAAGGCTGAAAGTAGCGGAAGTTACCATAAAAACACTGAATCTACCTGAAAACAGCTGAAATTAGCTAAAAAATGCTAAAAATGTAGAACAAGCTTAAATTAGCAGAAGAAAGCAGAAAGAACACATTTGCCCAATTAGGCTGAGAGAAGCTGAAATGAGCATAAAAAAGTGGAAAATAAATAGCAAAAAAAACAGCTGAAATGTAGCTACAAAGCAGAAAGAAGCTTTGTTACCAGAAGGAAGTGGAGAGAGCACGTTTTGTTGCTGAATTAGGCTGAAAATAATTTAGATGAGTGCAAAAAATGTGGAATTAGCTGAAAAGGCTAATATTAGCATAAAACAGCTAAATACTAGCTGAAATAGCAGAAAAAGCTTAAACTTGCAGAAATGAGCTGAAAGGAGCATAACAAGCTGAAATTAGTATGTTATATATGTATGTATGTATATGTTTACTCTGCTACATTGTGAATAAAATATGGGTTTATGATGTTTGTGCCTCAAACGTTTTTATTTACCAACTTTTTTGTATTTCGATTGAAGTTGTCAAGCCGCTTTGGTTTTAGTCTTGACTAATTTCTTAAAATAAAAATAAAAAACAATTATAACCTTTACTTTTCTGTCGTTTACAGTAAAATAATAATAGCTCAGGGATCTGCTCTCTTCCCTCGTGCTCCAGTTTCCCTCCATTGTTTTAATAGTGTGCAGCAAATGAGCTGCATCATTTCACAAGAAACACATCGTCCGTGCAGGATGGAGGTCGTCATCGCTCTCAGGAGGGAAGTGTTCGAGCCGTGTGGGTTACTGTACATTTACTGCAAAGTACTGGAACAAAGGTACTCACTGCGATGGTCACTACTGTCCGGTCAGCAAACGCAGTCATCACCACTTTCTGCAGGATGCTCTCCTGTTGGGAGGGAGAGACGAGATTAATCTTTGAAACGGGCTAAAGGCTTATTTTTCATCCGGCCCAGTTTCTTGTTCGTTATCTTGTTTTTATAAAAAGCTGTGCTCTTTGTTTCCAAACGTTCAATGACGAGACGCTTGAACTGATCTGAAGCTCCCCTCGGGCTCTGAATGCACTCAGCTCTTTTTCCTTCTGCATCACTTTTTTAATCTTCCAGCTTCGTGCACAAACTCTCCTCCTCCTCTTTGCGCTCTCTTAAAACAGGAGTTTAGGTTGCAGACTGCTCTCACTCCCACAGTGAGTTCAGTCTCTGCTGATTTCATCAGCTTATACAGGTCCTTCTCAAAAAATTAGCATATTGTGATAAAGGTCATTATTTTCCATAATGTAATGATAAAAATGAAACTTTCATATATTTCAGATTCATTGTACACCAACTGAAATATTTCAGGTCTTTAATCGTTTTAATACTGATGATTATGGCATACAGCTCATGAAAACCCAAAATGCCTGTCCCAAAAAATTAGCATATCATGAAAAGGTTCTCTAAACAAGCTATTAACCTAACCATCTGAATCAACGACGTAACTCTAAACACCTGCAAAAGATTCCTGAGGCTTTTAAAAACTCCCAGCCTTGTTCATTACTCAAAACCGCAATCATGGGTAAGACTGCCGACCTGACTGCTGTCCAGAAGGCCATCATTGACACCCTCAAGCAAGAGGGTAAGACACAGAAAGAAATTGCTGAACGAATAGGCTGTTCCCAGAGTGCTGTATCAAGGCACCTCAGTGGGAAGTCTGTGGGAAAGGAAAAGTGTGGCAGAAAACGCTGCACAACGAGAAGAGGTGACCGGACCCTGAGGAGGATTGTGGAGAAGGGCCGATTCCAGACCTTGGGGGACCTGCAGAAGCAGTGGACTGAGTCTGGAGTAGAAACATCCAGAGCCACCGTCCACAGGCGTGTGCAGGAAATGGGCTACAGGTGCCGCATTCCCCAGGTCAAGCCACTTTTGAACCAGAAACAGCGGCAGAAGCATCTTGCCTGGGACTGCTGCTGAGTGGTCCAAAGTTATGTTCTATGTTATGTAATTTTGCATTTGCTTTGGAAATCAAGGTCCCAGAGTCTGGAGGAAGAGAGGAGACACATAATTCACATTGCTTGAGGTCCAGTGTCAAGTTTCCACAGTCACTGGGGTGTCATGTCATCTGCTGGTGTTGGTCCACTGTGTTTTATCAAGGGCAGGGTCAATGCAGCTATCAGGAGATTTTGGAGCACTTCATGCTTCCATCTGCTGAAAAGCTTTATGAAGATGAAGATTTCATTTTTTAGCACGACCTGGCACCTGCTCACAGTGCCAAAACCACTGGTAAATGGTTTACTGACCATGGTATTACTGTGCTCAATTGGCCTGCCAACTCTCCTGACCTGAACCCCATAGAGAACCTGTGGGATATTGTGAAGAGAAAGTTGAGAGACGCAAGACCCAACACTCTGGATGAGCTTAAGGCCGCTATCGAAGCATCCTGGGCCTCCATAACACCTCAGCAGTGCCACAGGCTGATTGCCTCCATGCCACGCCGCATTGAAGCAGTCATTCATGCAAAAGGATTCCCGACCAAGTATTGAGTGCATAACTGAACATGATTATTTTAAGGTTGGTGTTTTTTGTATTAAAAACACTTGTCTTTCATTGGTGGGATGAAATATGCTAATATTTTGGGACAGGCATTTTGGGTTTTCATGAGCTGTATGCCATAATCATCAGTATTAAAACAATTAAAGACCTGAAATATTTCAGTTGGTCTGCAATGAATCTGAAATATATGAAAGTTTCATTTTTATCATTACATTATGGAAAATAATGACCTTTATCACAATATGCTAATTTTTTGAGAAGGACCTGTATACAGTATCAGATGTGATTTTTATTTTTATCCTAAAGTGTCAGATCGTCAGCATCATCCGTTTCTTCTCTTTGTCCCCATATTTGCCGATTAAAAAAAATGACCGAGGAAACTGGAGCTCTCATTTCCTTCGCCTCCTCTATCAGTTTTTCTCATTTCCTGCACCTCCCTTCCCTCACGCCTCCGTCTGAACGAGTTCTCCTGCGAGCCGCACACTGACCGTGGCCATGTCTATGGAGGCGGTGGCCTCGTCCATGATGAGGATGCTGCTCTTCCTCACGAAGGCTCTGGCCAGACAGAACAGCTGCCTCTGACCCTGACTGAAGTTTTCACCTCCCTCTGTCACCATGGCGTCTGAAACAGAAATATCATAAATTATAATACAAAAAAGAAAAATATTTATTTATTTTTATTATGTGGTAAACAAGGCGGCATGGTGGCGCAGTTGGTACAGCTGCTGCCTCTCAGTGAGAAGGTCGCTGGTTCAAATCCTTAATCCGCACACAGTTACAGCTGGATATGGACACCAGTGACCCCCGTAACCAGAAAAGATGATGAATGGATGTAATAACAGATTTATACATTTTTCTTCAACTCGACATTCAAGTTTCCATTTATGACAAATTCTTGATTTATTTTATAAGCAAACGCTATTTCAAACACAGAACTAAATATGTTATACATTTAAACACTTTTTAAGCTGGTGGTCTTAAGTTTATTTTAGATGCCAAAACATTCATTTTTAAAGAATTTATTGTATTAAATTATGAATTATTTAGATCTTCTTCATTACCTTTGTAGCAGATTGCATTTTTACAGGAATTATTAAAAGTTTTTTTCCCCACGTTTCACTAAACCCCAGTAAAACTGACCAGATTATTTTATAAATCTTACATTTCTGCTCATATGAGCACAATAATGGGTTTAAAACATTTATAACGAGGCTTTATGAAACTGGAAACTTGCTCAGTAATTGAAGTGAAGTTGATAAGATGATCCCTCGTTATTCAAGTCGCTGTAACGTGATGAAGATTTCCCCCATGGCTGTAAAATCTACAGCTTTTCCTAACAACTATTCATTTTCCAACTTAAAAAAGTGAATTAAAATAAAGAGTTCACGTTTGACCTGACATTGAATGTATTACAAACATTTATTATCTAAGCATAAGAAAATACATTATTAAGAACTTCTAGTTTTTGTGTATTTTCCTTCATAACTCCATTATTACTGCATGACTCTCCACAGTGTAAAGTGATTTATATGCAACATTTATTTGAACTAAAGCAAAGAGTGAGCCTCATTAATCATGAAATGTTTTACTGCAGATCGATGTCTTATTGATCATTTTGTCTCCAGCCCAGCTTTAACCATTCTACCTGGTTCCCAGCACACACTTTCATCACAGCAACATGCTGTAGGAGGAGTAAAGGCTCGTTTCTCAGCACCTGAAGTGCATCAGATCAGATGAGTACCAGTCTCATATTCCATAAAAGCAGCACATGGCCTCTGTTGTATCATGAAAAACGGCACCAAAGGACAGAACAAAGTGATAAATGAGCAGAGAGGTGTGTTCTGTGTCGGACCGGTTTGTGGCTCTCAGTAAACATCTGAAGCTCTGGCTGTGTGTCTGGTGCAGCTTCAGCTGTCAGATCTGCTGTATTCAGCAGCTGCAGTGAGTTAAAAATTTATCGCTGAAGAAACTCAATCTGGAAGTTTGATGCTGATATAAAGACACAGGATGACCACAGGATGACCACAGGATGACCACAGGATGACCACCGGCTGCGTCTGACGTCAGAGCAGGAGGAACTCTGTTCCACAAATACAGCTTAAAACTTGTTCTTTAAAACAAACAGCAACATGTGTGTGTGTGTGTGTGTGTGTGTGTGTGTGTGTGTGTGTGTGTGT